ACTCTACATAAGAATATGAAAGCAACACTTATTTACCGCTCATATATATTGAAGGGTTAAATGTTGTACTCTGTATAGACAAGCAGAGAGAGAGAGCAGCCGAACTGCCCGATGTAAACAAACCTTAATTTCCCGCGGCTTTTTTTTTTTAAGGGGATTAGCCCACCCGGGAATAGGTCACTGACCCACATTAGGACCTGAGGGGCAAAAATTTAAAAAAAAAAAAGCTGCCTATCTACCTATTAGACAAACTAAAATCGTTCCGGACCACGGGAGTTTCCGGACCACAGAATGCCAGACTAGAAAGGTACAACCTGTATAATGGCCAAAAAAAACTACTGTATCTAAATGAAGAACATCACTTGTAGCTGGCAGTGGTTCCAACAACCAAGGTGACTGTGTGTATACGAATAAATTGTGATATGTAGTAAGAGAATTGATTGGTGAGACATTCTGGTTGTTGAGTGGTGGATGAGTGTATGGCAGTCACAGAGTGAAGAGGTGTGAAATGTAGTAAAGTCAATTGTAATGCCACGAAGTGAGGTGTATACTGTACAGGTGGCCAGATGGTAGTGATAGTGTTTGTGATGTAGATGGTTGGAATTGCTGATGATCTATATATTATTGGTGGTGTTGATGATGTAGATGGTGGATAGTTGTGAGTTCCTCCTTCATGGCAGTCAGTGTGGCTTCATTCCTTGCTCTCCTCCTTGGTTTTGTGGTGTTTTTTTACATTATTTTGTATAGGTTTTCTTCATACCTCTGCTAAGGTTCTTTATATATCATCACCAAGATCATCATCAATAATCCGAAAGGAAGCATGTTGTGTTAACTGTACTGTGTAGTACTGTACAGTATAAGAAAATTGGTGTTGAAAGACTTGATATAAGGTGAATCTGTTATCATTTGTGTTTACTGTAATATTATTTTCATGTACAGGACACTTTCATTATTTTTATTTTTTTCTCATTCTTAATATTCACCAAAGTGAAAAGTTTGGCCAACTGAAATCTAAAATACTGCACACCCAAAGGTACAATAATCATAAATATTTTTCTTTAATGTACATTGTATGATATTTATTCAGCGTATGAAAGTATATTCATGAAAGGTACAATGATTTTTGTATAGGTTTGGCCTTTGAATTATATATGTAATTTCTAGTATGGTAAACTTCATCTTTTCATCAGGTTACATCCCTAAAGGTGTTGCACATTTGTAAAACTTTGCAGTTGCATTTCCTCTTTCTATGCTGGCTACATTTTCTTGGAAGAAGAAAGGGTAGAGTTTCCTTTCCAAGCCCCAAAGCTAATTAGGTTCTGTTGTGTATAAATATTATTTACAGGAATACAGTACCCTAGTTATTGCAAAGGATGCATACCTAAAAGTCATTGAGAATACAGTATCAGGGCACTTTTCCCTGTAAGAATCCAGGCCATAAGAAATAATAGAAATGGGAATAATAGATTGGGACCGTAATAAACTGAATGACACTCAGAAAGATTTTTTTTTTACATTCTATCATTTGTAGGGTCGTGTGTGCACTGTACCAGTATACATGATGAATACATAAAAATAATAATGATATATAAAATAAAAGAAAAAAATTCTGCATTTCCATTTAGCAATACAGTAGTTTCACTACACGCTGGGCACGGTAGACAGGAGCAGCTGAGATCCCCAATGCTGCTCCTCCTCCTGCAATCTGTGTGCTAACTCCCATGCATGGAGAAATATTTATTCTCTTTATGTATTTGACCTTATGATATATATATTTTTTTTTTTTCACATTCTGGATGAATGAGTGTGTGTCCATGTAACAGAATAAAAGTTTTTAAAGAAAATCACGTAAAGTACAGTACTGTACTGTACCACAGCTCACAGGTTGGCTTAGTAGGGAGAGGGCTAAGGAGATGTAACTACAGTGACAGTCTTTCTTGGCAACATACCAAGTCCACACATACGTTCAATTCACACACACACACACACAAAACCTTGCCCTTCATTTTTGTTATTTTATTGTTTTATATTATATTTTCTTTATTTCCAAGCCACGTTAGAGTACTGTAATGATTTTTACACAACTTTTATAGTTTCATTATATATAACAATGGTAACATGCCATCTCCATGGATATTATTTTTTGCTTTGTGAATATCAAATAGGGATGTTAAAATGTGAATTGTGAATAAGCGGGGTTGCGAATAGCGAGGTAATCCTGTAAAACATTATCTCTGTACTGTTTAATTAAATAGAAAAATATTGCATTTTTTGGTGTTCAGAGGAAGGGAGGAAACCATGTACAGTATCTTTAGTGAAAGATGGCTACAAAGACATTATAACATATTTATGCAAATATGTGTTCCAAATTTCACTTAGTAAGTTTCTTTGTTTACAAATATTAAGTACTGTGTTATCTTATTTCCATACTGCCATTGACTGCTTGTACTACAATTAGGACTGTACAGTAAAATGTAGTTTAGTGTACAGTACTGTATAAGCACAAGAAGAAGCCAGACAGCTGTTTGCCTCATGTTAAACGCTTTCTCCATAATTAAAGACCATTCACTCCTATGCAGTGTATACTAGTCCATTAAATTTGGATATTATTGCAATACAGAAAGAAGTTTAGTGTACTACTGTAAACAAAATTTTGTTTAGATTAAGTTGTAATAAATGGCAGGTTTGCCTTTCACCATGGAACCGCTGTACAAGTCTTGAGAGTGTGAACCATACTGGTGCTGCGAAACCCTTGTGTAAAAAAAATCAAATTTTTGGTTGTCATATTGCTGGGAAGAGCATCATATCATATTGTTTAACAAAGAGAGTTTACTGTAATACAGCAGTTAATGTATAGTAGGATCATTGTTTCTTTCAACAGTTTTAAGACATGCACACATTTTATACATATGTTTACAGAATACAGTACTGTACTATAGTTTTCTCTTGACTGTCCACGTGTCTTCTTCTCTCTTGTTCCCCACATTAACTTATTTTGATCATACAGTGGTCCCTCGGTTAACGAGATTTCGGTTAACGAATTACCTTCCATAAGATTCTTTACTTCGATTAACGAGCAATCCCTCGATTAACGAGTTTCTTACGAGCTGACCTCCACATGCTTTAGCTTGCATTTGGCGGTCCACCAGCTGTAGTATTAGTCCGCCAATACAGTAATCGGTTCTAGGGCTTAAATTCCTTACCCTTTTAGTAAATATCAAGAAGTTTATACTTTTCAATAATTTTAAAAGTTTAATATTAAATTTTTTAGTCATTTTAACAATTATTGAACATAATTGAAGGTAGGGTCACTAGTTTGTGGCACGCCATCCAGCCTGCCAACACAGCATACAGGCGTCAGTCTTTGTGTCTTTTCAGTGGAGGTAACATCTTGCTTGAGACTCTCTTCAACTAAACGCTTTTTTTCTGTGTTTACAAGCAAATTGTTTGTCAATTTGAAATTTATTTTACATATTGACAATATATAATGCAGTGCAGTGTTCATTTAAAGAAAATAATCTTGAATTACACCAAGAGAACTAAAATTTTATGGGTGAAATGGCGCCATGGGGTGACTTCTCTTCCACCCCAATGCCTTTTCTTCTCCCTTCTCCTCCACCCCCATTCTAATTCCCATCATCATCATCCAGGAGCCTTCTACATACACACCTCAAAGTAAGTGTACTTTTCTACCTTTTTTGTTGAATTTAGGCAATTTTCGGTGAGCTGGAACCAATTACCCAAAAACCCATTGAAACAATGGTTTCGGTTAACGAGCAACCTTCTAGAACGGATTGTGCTCGTTAACCGAGGGACCACTGTACTGTATTTTTGTTTTCCATTCTATCACACATTCTCATAAAAGTATACAGGATACCATCTTTTACTTTGTCATTTCTTTCACCTTTCTAGAAAATCATATTAGTTGCCATTCTTCTTGCCTTCCATCCCAAATTTACACTTTTTGTTCATTTTTATTGTTTAGTAAAGCAATAAATAGTGATGTAATTACAGTACACCATGATGGTGTAAAAGATTTACTCATGATGATTTTCTCTTGTTTTATGTGAACTTTTTGTTTTTTCTGTTAATACTACTACTGTAGATAAGTCTTAGATAGTGTTTAGACAATATTGTGATTGGTACAAGGTATGTTTAAGGTAGCCAATAATGTATGTATTGCATATCACCAAATAGTATATGTTTTATATACTTTAAATGATCTATGGTAAATGTATTTTATCTTGTTAGAATGAATTCTTGTGTAGGTATATAATATCTTACTCTTAATGACTTGTTACAGGTCTGCCTATTCTTCGTATATTGGTGTCAGAGGTGTCAGCACTGGGAGAATTAGCTCTTCCCCTGCTGGTCCACCACCCACTGCAGATGGTGCTGGGTGGCTCACTCACTCCTAGATTGGCAGCCTGGGCTCAGCATCAGATTAAAAGGTTATTAACTAATTCATGGTTTCTTAAACACATGTGTATGGTGAAGATGACAATTGTAAAACTTAAAATTGGGAAAATTCTGTATTGTACAGGTACACCATCGATTTTCCTGAAACTGATAGTCCGGCACCTCCTTTATTCCGGACAAAATTATGAGAGGGCACTTAACTTCCCTCCCTCCCTCCCTCCCAGCCAGGGTGAAGGTAGTTTTAGGCTTAAATTTTTTATCTTATAAAATGTCACAGACTAAGCTGAGCAGAATATAACTTACATTGCTGGAATCCTTGTAAGGTAGTGATTAATTTGAGTATAAACATCACATAATTTGCATAGGATATATTTTTTTTTCTTTTAGTGAGGTGCATTTGAGTATAAAGTGTGTACCCGGAAAAGTAATATGATGTTGAAAATTATGGCTTTTTCGCATTTAATTTAATTTTATTTACCCTTTGGAACCAAGGGTGCCAGAAAATTGGTGGTGTACCTGTGTACTGAATACAATTATCACCATTACAGTATACAGTGGGGTATGCTATAACGAATCTAATTGGTTCTAGAACCTTGTTCGTTATAGCATTCGTTCGTTATAGGATTAATCCGTTCCAGGCCCCCAAATACAACCACTTAACACTGAAAAATATAATATAAAATTGTAAAAATTGTAAAAAAGTGCATAAATATGCATCTAAACTCCTGAAATAAAGAATATCATTAATACTTGTAATAAAAAAACAATAAATTAGTAAAAAAAAAAAAAAAAAAATTAAATAATGTTCGTTGTAGGAGTTTCGTTCGTTATAGCATTCTTAGTTTTATAGGTAAAACCGTTCGTTATAGGAATATTCGTAGTAGGATCCGTTCGTTATAGCATACCCCACTGTACCTGCCTTTACAGGAATTATTGACAACAGTTTTTAAGCAAGGAATTTACAGTATAAATCAAAACAACATGCGGTACCTTTATGCTGTCAGTTATTTTCTCTTTGAGAGTGTGTAAACTTGCTTTTATTCATCTTACACAATAGTGGGATTTCAATCATAAATCAGTTGTGCACTGCTGTGATTCGGGGTCACTGCTATGTTTCGGTTAACACTGATGTCATTACCTAATTAAGGAATACAATGTAAAAATTCCCTACACCAACTTTGTTGCCCTGTTTTTGTCTTAGTTGACTTAAGTGAACACAATGTCTGAACTTGAGTATCAGTCCCATTTTGTTTTATATCTGGATTTATCTTGCAATCATTCAATAATAAATGTCAAGTGTAGTGCTTGTGCAGGTGGTGAGGGGAAGAAAAAAGTGTATGAGCATTACACTAGATATTATGTTGGATGTTATAAAGCATAGTAAACAAGGTGAACTCATCCACTTCTCAATCTTTAGATAAACAAATTAATAGGTTAAAGGTTATGGATTAAGGTTAAATCCTTTTTAAATAATGTTTAAAAATTTTTGCATTTTTTACACTAATTTTTTTTTTCTGTTTGAGTCATTACTTAATAATATAACAAATACTTTTTCTATTCTATAAGTAGAAAATGAGCTAAAAATTTGATCCCTATTCCTATCTTATTACATTATTTCTTATGGGAAAAACTGTCCCGCTTTGTGTCACATCAGCTACCTACTGTAAACGCTATTCTCTTGTATTTACGTGTATTCTGATGGGGAAAAGTTCCCTGCATGACGTCGTTTCACTTTAAGTCCTGTGACTTTAGTCCCTCACCATGACGTATTTCAGGTGCTCCCTGTACAGTACAGTACTGTACTTTGTTAATTTTTCTTATAAACATACAAATTTTAATTTCTTTATTTGGAACACTAATTGTCTTTTGTCACCACCAAAAAATAACACCTTATATACAAAAGAGAAATTCACTACAGTACTTTTTATATGAAATTTTAAATACCGTAGAGTTTAAAAATGTATATTGGCCTTTCTTGCACTTAGGTCAAGAAATGATATCCACTGTATCAATCAACCAATATAATTATAGAGGATATTAAATGATTTTGTGACATAGATTAGTGTAATTGTGGTCTTTGGAATTAATGAATTATTACGTATCTATTTTTGCTTTCCATAGAGTCTTGACTTCAGAAGTTTGAAGATCAGTTGGAGTGTCCTAATCCCTCCTGACTGGAAAATGATACCTACCATCTTCTTTGTGATAATTGTGCAGGTACTGTACACAGTTTTTTTAATGGATATACAGTACTCATGTTGATAAATAATACACATTCATGATAAAAGGATGTCTCATTATTTCAAGATAATTATTTTTTGGTTCATATTCCCACTCCAGGGTGCATAGAAGTACCTACTTACATGTCGCTGCTGGCCAGCTTATAGTGAAAACTATTTTTAAGAGAATGATGCATTGGATTCCTTTTCCCATGCAACTTTTGAGGACCTGTATGTTCTAAATTATGGTGTGAATCTGTCTGGGTTTCTAGGAAGCTTTTGTTAACACTTTCGCCGGCCATTGGAAGTGAAATGTCTCCCATGACCCTGAGCGCTCACACTGGTGCGTAAGATATTATCTTTCCTCGCTCATTTTCAGCCATCCCAGATCATTTATACAATTATTTTGCTCTTTTATCACTTAGTCAGATACAGTAGTTTATTTTTATAACTAAGTATAAAAAAATAATTGTTTTACCCATAAACGGTAAATGAAAATATAAATTCAAAGAAAAATCTATGCATTTTAGAAATCGGCCTGTCTACAAGTGAGATTTGGACTACACGAGCAGTGAGCAAAGAGATTAATCTGGAACATAACTTTTGTATCAACAAAGAATTTTTTTATGAAATGCCTAATACAGTGTTGTACTGTAAATCTGTATCATTACAAGACAATATACATTTACAGAACTTAATATTCAATAATCAAAGAGCAAGGTCTCAGCTGTGGGTCAAAGATCAAATCTACAGAAATGGCATATTATGTAGCATAGTGCTTTTGTTCCTATGTCCTTATTTGATATAATTTAGTTATTAATGAAGCATGGAATGAGCATTATTTCTCATTAGTTCTCCAAACGTGGAAGTTCATTTCATTTAACTTTTGATGTACAGTACATTATTTATGTATGATTGTAATTCATGGTACTATATGTATCCTCTGTATGTGTACAGTATATGGACTACAGTTTATGTATCAAAAGAATAATGGACCAGAGTCATAGAAACAGCACTTTTTTACATACACCCAGAGATAAATTGTATAAATTTTAACCCAAGGCACCAAATTAAAGAGGGTGTCAGGAAAGTATTAAAGGTGGTATCCTCATAAAGATCTACTTAATGCAGTTTTACACAATAAGATAATAATACTTAAGTAGTCATATAATAACACAAATACCTGTACTGATGCTGATAATGAAGATAATTATTGTTTTGTTTTTCACATACTGTATAGTACATGTACTGTACTTTTACTTTCAAAGTACAGTACAGTACAGTAATTATATTTTCATTATGTTTCATGTTTGGATATTTCCACTCTTTTTGGTGGTATTAGTATAATCCTAAAATTTTTATTTTCATATTACCTGTCATTTGTTTCATGAATTAGAGGAATTTTGCTTGAATGTGTAAATAGTAGGCATTCCAGGACATGAGATTTTATTGACAAGGCAATTATTTCTTTATTTTCTATAGTGCGGCAGGAACTTTTAAAGAATATTATTCTCCTACAAAATTAGTGCATTACCGTGTAGATACTGTATACAGTTTTGCATTTTAAAAACTAGAAAGGTTGTGCATTTTATCATGTACTGTACTGTACATATTTAACATAGTGGAAGCCAAGAATAGAGTGGCATTAGTCTCTTGTTCTCTCTCACACATATTATTAAGGTGCTGGTATGATGTTGCTGTGATACAGTAGAAGATCTCCATTCTGAATTACTTGGGACCAGTCATTGTTTGAACTGCATATACAGTAAGTCTTCGTTTAACATTGCCCCCTACAATGTTGTTTCGTTATAACGTCGCTACTCTTTAGATACCCATGATTCAGACAATGTCCCGGCTATTCATTATAACGTCGTCACGGACTACTTTGTACGACACATCACCCTCTCTCATCTTGGCACACTACGCTCTCTTGCGGAGCGTCACAGCATCCCCAGTCTTTGTTAGGCTTCCACGGCATTCATGCACATTTTCATTACTGTACTGTAACTATTTGAAATGGCTTCAAAGCGCCCATCAAGTGTTAGTGATGCTAGTGTTGTGAAGAGGCAACGCAAGACCATTAGCCTTGCTACGAAAATGGAGGTTTTAAACCTCCGGGTCTCAGTGACTCGCCACCCTCCTCCTCTCCACTACCCACCACACACTCGCCCCACCTCTACACGTCACTGAGTACAATACAAAATGAGTTAGTTTATTTATCTTTTTGTATGTATAACATACTGTATACTATTTTCTATAAAAATTCCATTGAGTTGATGTATATGTACAGGTAATGTATATTATGGGGCTTGGGAACGTAACTCCCGCATTTTATCTATTTCTTATGGGGAAAATTGATTCCGTTAACGTCGCGGTTTTCAGGGACGGAACCACGAAGTTAAGCGAGGACTTACTGTACAGTATTATCATATTCTAGCTACCACAAAATTGCAGGATTATTAAACCACTCTGTGGTTAGTTCCTGAGTGATCCAGGGTTGTTTATAACCTTCATAAATCACAGGCATTTCCTATGCTCCCTTTAGGGCATGACTATGAAAACTCTTGTCTATCACCAACAACTTATACTCATGTGTGTTAGCTGTGTTTGCATACGTAAGAATGGTTCTGGACATTTTGTCGTGGGTTCAGGATGAACTTGACTTAATTATGGCTTTATGGGCTCCAAAATAAAGATATTATTACAGGTATATAAATTTAATACAGTGTATATAACAGTATTCAATAGATCAGTGATAATTTGTCCAGTGATGAAATATGTGCCCACCATAAGTACAGTCATTGTGTCCTAAACTTCCTTCATGTTTGTTCAATTCTTGCATTAAGTGTGTTCCTTGGCAATCAGTGCAAGAAGAAGCCAGTCTTATCTTCATTATAGATTTTTTTCAGTCATAAGATTTTCATCTTTCAATAATTTTGAAAAAACAAACAATGTACAGAACTTCTCAATGGCCTCTTTACCTGCAGATTTTCTTTTACTATTCACTTTCTGGAGGCAGTTGCTATGGTGCAACTTAAAAAAATTGCAGTCATCCATCATAAACTCACAGAGCTCACTAATTTTCAGCTGATGATGAAATTGTTTAGCCTCTCCATAAAAGAGGCCCAGAAATTGGTGCACTTCTACAGTACTATGATGTTGCATAAACTACTTGTAAATATGCTTATTGAGGCCAGCCAATCTAGTTTCATACATAGTTGTACAGTTAGCAAGCCATAATTCAAACATCATAACACTTGTTACACTCCGATTAATTACCCCCTATAAAATGTTTGTAGAATTTCATGTTTCTGCATAATACTAATGCCAGAAACTACAAGATGAACATCTAGGACAGGAGAAAAAACTGCACTTTGTGTTTGTAGACTTAGAATAGGCATTTGCCAGAGTACCACATGAGGTAGAACAGTGAGCGATAAGAAAGGAAGGTATCGAGAAGTGTCTTGTTCGAATGGCAATATATGAGGGCTCAAGAGAAACTGTGAGAGTAAATGGTTAGTACTGTAAATTGAGTTAAAAGGAGAAGTCCATCAGGGTCTGTTTTGAGTCCCCTTCTGTTTATCATGGTGCTAAAGGCACTATTACAGGATTTTGGGACTTGTCTGCCCTAGGAGTTGTTTAATGCTGACAGCTTCATGCTTATAACAGATAGTATTAAAGAGTCGATGAAGAAATTTAAGAAATGGAAAACTGAAATGGAGTCAAAGGGTATAAAAGTGAATGTGGCAAAAACAAATAATGATTATTAGCATGGATGAAGGGCCTATAGTGGAATGTGGAAAATGGTCATGTACTGTCTTTTAGGAAAGGTGTTAATAGCAGGTCAGTAATGTGCAGTGAGTGTGTCAGATGGGTACACAAGAGGTGCATTGATGTAAATTGTAGACTGCAGAGTGTTGCTGACTTTTAAGTGTGATGTATGATCTAATATTTATGTGGCCTTAACAAGGCTAGAGAAACTTAATATTGGGGATATGTCTCTCGACTGTGTAAGGAAAGATGTATGTAACCAGCATGAGAAATGTGATGTTGTATGGCAGTGAATCATAGGCTGATAACAAGGATGACATTCGTAGGTTTAAGCAAGCTCAAATGAGAATGATGAGATGGAAACCCCATTCAGAGCAAAGAGTATAAAGAGTTTTGGCAAGGTTTTGTGCAGAGATAGGCTGAAATAATTTGGGCATATAGAGAGATTGGAGAAAACCAGCTGGGTCAAGAGATACATGAGTTTGAATGTGGAGGGGATAAAAGCCAGGAGTAGGCCAAGAATAACATGGGGAGAGGTTGTTTATGACCCCAGAGATAAGAACTTGACAAGAGGGGCTATGGGAGACCATGCAACATAGAGACCTATTATCAGGTAATCTCAACAAACCGAAGCTAGTGTGGAAAATGGGCATAAAATGGTGATGATCACACTGATAGTAGGTAAGCAGAACATGCTTGTTCTTTGCATCACTATCACTTTAGAACCTGTTGGGAGCTATTATAATGTCAAAACCATAGAAATAATTGAGAACAGTGTAGACCACAACCACTTTGAATTCAGATTGATAGAACAATGGCAAAATTGGTGGTATGGGTTATGACAGCATATATGAAATAAAGTAGCAGTACAGGGTATTTGGAAACTCATGTGCCATTTTTGGGTGGAATGTGGAATGTTTTGTGTTTTAAGACTGGAGATATTGCACTGTATTATGGTATTGCCACGGTTGTGGCTCGGTGGTGGTGTGGTATTACTGTGATATTGCTGTAGTGCTGTTGTGTTATTTTTATGGTGTTAATGCAATACAGTACAACTTCAAGAACCAAGAGTGCTCAGAGCAAATCCTTTCATAAGTTTTCATTTTTCCAGATTTCAGAATAAGGATCAATTAAAATAAATAAGAATTTTTGTGCACTAATTTTCAAGTGATCATAAAATAAGTGTGGCTTCTTTTTTTTCCCTAAGTACTGCTCAAGTAATAGGAACACCTCTGTGTTATTGGCAATACCACTATTATATTCATGAATTAGCACTCTAGAGTTTTGCACACAAAGCCTCTTTGATTGTCACTTTCAATGTGTTCTGTGTTCTTTTGAGGTGTTACTTGGCTATGATCTCTGTCTTAAATACCATAATGAGGATAAAATAAATGTGAAACTAAAGCAAACTTTCTGTGGGTGCCGGGATGATCACTGCCACTGGATGTTACAATGGGGAAGTGAGTCTTTGAGCTACTTTCGCCTCTTGAAACTCTGCAGTTTCTGATGTCTTTTCCAAGGATTTAAAAATAGTAGGAATCTTGAGTAAATCTTGTAAACATCTAAGGGAGCCAGATTTTGGCTGTTTTGGATACACAAGGTTGTACTGTATTAACATTGTTGCTGTAGCATTTCTCTGATATTGTTTTGGTACTGTGCCAATGTGGTTTAGCTTGGATGAGTGATACATGGACCATAGCAAAGTACAATACAGTGTGTGTTTGTATTTGTTTTTTACCTTTTATAAATCTTATTTGCTCAAGAGGTACAGTGGCAGTACATGATATTTTCAGTGCATTTATCTCTGACCAGAGGTAAAGGGATGATATAACAATTGTATTTATGACCTTAACACATTTAAAAATCATACCCCTGATAAAAAACAAGTTTTTCACAAGCTAATAAGATTTCCAAGAAATTTTAATACCAGAAGTTTTTCATTTTTGGCAAGCATGGTAATAAATAATTTAAAAATAATATTGAATCTTTTTCTTGCCAAAATGCAACTTGAGAGGATGCCCAGGTACTTTTATGATGCATGCAAAGGGTTAATGAGAGCTCTTCATAATCCATTTTCTCCTGTTCCCTGCTGCCATATCCTCACCAAAGAAACTACAGGATGAACCTCTCTAATCTTGATTCCCCCAATTTGCCCAGGGTAGCAGCCCCTGGGCAAAAGGGGTTAATATTGCACTGTGTATTTATGTGGCTGGTGACCAACACAGTATACACTACCGTAGAATTGGACCCATATTTCATGGGTTAGGTGTCCTAAAGCTTATTTAACCAAACCTTACCTAATTTCACAAATCCAGCTTAACATAATCTAGTAGAGAAAAGTTTTGTACTGGACATATGCTGATAAGCACACAATCAATTACACTCCTGTACTGTACATAATATGTATTGTCAGTCATACACTTTCATTTACTGTGTAGCACATTCCTTACAGAATAATTAAAGCATGTACATATTAAAAGGACTATTTAAAGTGATCACAATATACTGTACTGTATCTGTGTTGCCTCCATTGTTGGATGATGTGTTGTGACCACTTTAGCAGACGAGCTTACAGAGTGTTCAGTGAAAAAATTTAGATATTCAGGGGTCCATCCCTAGAGGATGAATTAATATGCAGAGGGTGGAAGTACTCGCACAAGATGACAGAGATAAATCTACACGTGCGTGCATATCTCACACAGCATTTGCATATGGTGATGGGATACGCTGCATTCATGTTTGATCCGAACCCGTGTCAGAAACAAAAAAGGTATATGAAAATGTTAACCTTGCGTGTGGGTTGAATGTCCCTCTTGCAACAAGAAGATCAGATGTGTGCAATATTTGGATAAATTCTTGCTTCGGCTCAAAGACGAGCTCGAGGCAACCAATATTTGTTTTTCTTGATAAAAGTCTTGTTGTATTCCTAGTTTATAATTGAAATTTAGAGGTTTATGAACATGCAGGTTTGGAATATAGAAAATAAAGTGTTGTGAATTATAGCAGTTTAATTAATATATACTGCACATTATTGATGATCTAGGTCTGTTTTCCTCTCACATGCATACATATACATCCCTCACACACACACACAAAACTACTACTACTACTATTACTTTATTTTTTTTAAAGTGGCCTCCATCCTCCCCCTATAGCCACACCTTCTCTGCCATTTTAATACCTTAAAATTAAATATCCTAATACATAAGTAGCTATCCTAGCTGTGTTGAGTTAGTTGAGCTGCAGATCTATGCAGCATTCAGTGACTGTTGCCTCATAGTCAATATCTGC